TCACGCAGGATGAATTCTTGGCCCGTGGCAGCTAGCAGCTGCACGAAACACTATCTCTGTAGGTTCCTGATTCCATGTTGCCTCACTCAGCTGCTGTCAAAAATCACTTCTTTCCTCCCCCGGTGTCTCTGGATACAAAGGAAGGCCACTACCAACCCAAGGTCCTTTCCTCAGAAAGACTTGGGCCTTACAGAGCTGTATCTCCAGAAGAGACAGAGGAGTGGAAATTTAGAAATGCCTGGAGAATTTTTCTAGTCCCGTACCAAGCAGCCTCCTCCTGTTGTGTTTAGATAGTGACAGAAAGAAAAAGGTGGCCACTTGTTAAAAAGAAGAGAGTCTTCCAGACTGGGCCTGCCTTGGCCCTAGTCGGCGACCTAGAGGAAGCCAGAAGGGGGGAAGAGGCAGATGAAGGGGAATGCAAACTAAAGGAATATTTGTAAGGGTTGTATGACCCTGGCCATGTGAATTAATTTTTCTGGGCCTGAGTTTTCTCATCTGTAAAATGGGATCATTGCAAGACCCTACCTCACTGGGCTCCTAGGGAGCCCTAAAGGCTTAGGACAGTGCATGACATTTGTGAGTGCTTTGTATTATTGTTATTTAGGATAAAAATTTGAGGAAAAAAATTAATATTTAGTGTTTAGGATTGCAAATTTTAGAGGTTTTTAGAGTCATCGTTTCTCTTAAAAAGTACCAGTAAAAATGAGATCTTTTGGGGCGCCTGGGTGGCTCAGTGGGTTAAAGCCTCTGCCTTCGGCTCAGGTCATGATCCCAGGGTCCTGGGATCGAGCCCCCCCCCCCCACATCGGGCTCTCTGCTCAGCAGGGAGCCTGCTTCCCTTCCTCTCTCTGCCTGCCTCTCTGCCTACTTGAGATTTCTCTCTCTGTCAAATAAATAAATAAATAAATCTTTAAAAAAAAAAAGAGAGAGAGAGAGAGAGATCTTTTGTTAGTTTCATGGCACATAAAAACTAACCCCTGTGGGGTGATGCCTTGTAAGAGTCAGACACAGTCACGGGTACTTTATGTTTGCTTCTGCCATCCTCCCACCCTGCTGCCCTCCCCGCTTGAGGAGAAGTTTACAGATGGGGAAACTGAGCTTAGAGATCCATCCTTGTGATAACTCAGCCGGTAGCCACTCTGTTATTTGTGTTAAGGGGTTCATAAAAGTCTTCACACCCCGCACCCCCTGATCCCCCAAGTCTGCCCCCGAGAACCATCAGGAACCACGTGAGGGGACAGGCTGCTGTGTTTCCCACGGCACTGGGGAGAGGGCACCGACTCAATGAACAGCTATGGCCTTGCGTTGAGCTGACTTGCTCGAGTGAGGAAGGTCCCAGAACCCAGCTGGGCCATGCTCTGACCCTGTGGCTCCAGCCACCTTGCTTGCTTCCCCAGATCATTCAAAGCTGTCACTATCAACGTCCCACGCGTCAGGGGTAACTCCCGCCTCCCCGAAGCTACTGCTGTAAGTGGGTTAGCGTGTGCTGGGCACGATCACCGTGGGGGTTTCAATCCTGAGTGAAAAGGGCAAGGTTGAGAGCAGCTGGGAGCAGGGTGCACTCCCAGCTCGGGACTCTCGGGGAGAAGATGGGTGAAGCACCCACCAGTGGCTGGCCCGGCCTGCCATGGCTTGTAGACCCCGGCCACCCATGTGCCAAGAAGAGAGCGTGCCTTGGACGGTGGCCCTCCTCCAAAGCCCGTAAGGGTTGTATGGTTCCTGGTGGCACCAGGAAGAGGGCTCAGGGCACACCCTGTTTTATTTGCCTTTCCAGGGTAGGCCTGGGACACATGTGTAGCTATTTCCAAAGCTAGAGAAACAGCCACGGAAGTCTGGGTGCGTGAAAATTAGTCCTATTATTTTTTAGCTATTAAATTCAGTGCAGGGCGCTGCCCAGAGGAAGGAAAGGAACAGGAGAATGTGACCAGGCCTCTTTGTCTCAGTTTCAGGGCCTCCTCCCATCTGTCCTACCTGCCTGCGCCCCACTATCCCCGGTGACCCCGCAATCTCTATCCGTTCATGTAAATCCCCTTAGAGACACAGCCCGAGGCCCTCTGCCCCCACAACAGGAAGGGATATTTGGGCTGTCTGTATATAACACCTACTTCAATTCTCACCCTCTGCAGTGGGCACGACTACCCGCCTTTCACTCCTGAAAACCCTGAAGCTCCGAGAATCTAAGCCAGCCTTCGCGCCATCAAACACACCCGCCTGTCTCAGGACCCTCTGCCCGCCCTTGGGGCCATGTGTCCCCAACCCCAGAGTGTCTCTGGGACTCCCGCCTGCGCTCAGTGTAATGGTAACAGAAGGCTCCCTGGGCTAGTGTGCTACCAATGAGTGCAGGGGACCGCAGGGAAAGTCGAGAGGAGCCAAAGGCAGCTCTCGGGCATGTCGAACGTGCCATGCCGCTCACTTTCCTGCTCACTTTGTCCATCTGATGGAATCTGAGAGCCAAGAGGAACTTTAAGGGGGATCTCACTCAACCCAGTTCCCTCCCCGCGGCTTGAATTCGCCTCTACAACATCCCCTCCAAGTGGTTGCTCAGTCTATGCACAGCAAGGGCAAGAAAAAGCCAGCCGAGAAGCTTCCAGCATACACAGGGGGTGGTGAGTAGCTTAGTTTGGCGGGGGCTTGGGCAGAATGAGAGAAAATTACAGGAAATAATGTGGAGAGGCAGGCAGGGGGCAGATTCAATAATAAAGTAATAACGATAATAATAATATATGGGAGCTCTCCGTGTTTAATCTCCCCAAACCCTTACACAGCCCTGCGACAGAGGCACTCTTATGTTCCTCGTTTTGCCGATGAGGGAGTTCTGGAGAGATGAAATAATTTACCCACAACCACACAACAAAAGCCAGATGCAGGGTTCGAACTCAGACTGGCTAGTTCACAAGCCACATCAGTTAAATACTCTGCTGTTCTAGAATCCTAAGATAAGGCCCTTAGATTTTGTTGCGTAGGCCCACCGAGGGGAAGGTTATATCCCATCACAATAAACCATCCAACTTCTCCATCACTAAAACTTTGAAACACAGATATCATAGTCATATATCATATAAATTAAAAAGCGGCCTGCTTCAATTTTCAGATGATTTCATTACAGAAATTCAGTCTGCCCTCTGCCCCATCTGACCGAGCCCAGTGCCCTCGCAGTGAAGGTAATCTGGTCTTGAAACACTGGCAGTTCCACACAGCTTTTCTCTACCTTAATATTTTTCCCAGCCAGTCATTCATATTACACGAGGTTACAAAAAATTGGCAGGTCAAGTCACATCCTGAAAGGGGAGGCATTACACACTCCTGATGGCCTTCTGGGTTACAAGTGACCGACTTTTTATCCTGTCATGAAACAGAATGACCATTAGCAAGTACTAAGTGTTCAGGTGTTTTAATATGCTACTGCTTCTGGGGACGTCAGTGCCTTTTCAATAGAATGTAGCTCTCACACCATCAGCGGAAGGCGGCTGATGGCTTTGTGTAAGGAAAATGAAGCACAGGTGGGCACCAGATTTGATCACATAGGCCAAGGTCAACCTCCTTGGCTGACCCGGACCCTCTCCCATCTGCAGGGCTGGCTCCAAGGGCGTGGGCCCTATGTGGTGGCAAGTATGGACACCAGTTCTCTTCCCTTCTTTCCTGCCTGGTGGTTTTGTCCTGTCCAAGGAATGCCTACCCCTCTTGGCTTCCTTGCACATCAGAACTCCCCTGCATGTACCAAGACCACGAAGGAACAAGGCTTTACTGCCATCTCCGCCCACTTCTCCAGTTCTTTCTGATGCCTACACTCACCAGAAGCTTTTCTGGGGAGGAATTCCACAGTTAAAATTTGTACCAAGACAAGAAGAGGAGGATGTCATTTTTTTTTTTTTTTCACACAGAGGCCAAACCCGGGGCAAATGAAACACCAGGAAAGGATGCTTGAGTTCTAGGCGTTTACTGTGGCATTTACAGCCGGGACTCGATAGTCTGAACTGGAAAGGTGACATGGACAATGGAGATTCACAGACCGTCCAGTTAAGTTGCTAAATCTCACTTTAGCAAACAGATTCAGTCGAAAGCACGTATTCAAACAAATACTCATCTTCTTGTTCATAGCAACACCAATCCAATAGCCAAAAGGTGGAAAGAGCCAAATGCCCATGGATGAATGAATGGATAGATGACAGGTAGTGTAGTCATCCAATGGGACAGTATTCCGCCATAAAAAGGAACGAAGTCGGGTGCCTGGGTGGCTCAGTGGGTTAAGCCGCTGCCTTCGGCTCAGGTCATGATCTCAGGGTCCTGGGATCGAGTCCCGCATCGGGTTCTCTGCTCGGCAGAAATCCTGCTTCCCTCTCTCTCTCTCTGCCTGCCTCTCCATCTACTTGTGATCTCTCTCTGTCAAATAAATAAATAAAATCTTTAAAAAAAAAAAAAAAAAAAAAGGAACGAAGTCTGTGCACACTACAACATGGGTGAACCTGGAGAGACGCTGAGTGAAAGAAGCCGGGTCCTACAGACCACATATGGCAGGCTTCCATTTATGTGGAACATCCAGAATGGACAAATCCATAGAGAGAGAAGGAGATTGGAGGTGGCCAAGGGCTGAGGGGGCAGGGGGAGGGGGGAGCCAAGAGGAGCACCTGCCCGCTGGGTATAAGGTTTCATTTTAGGGTGATGAAAATGTCTGGGAACTAGACAAAGGAGGGGGGCCGGGCAACACTGTGATGTATGAAATGTCACTGAACTGTTTGCTCTCAAAGTGTTAATTTCATGTTATGTGAATTTTACCTCGATAAAAAAGGGGGGGTGTAAAAAGAGAGAGAGAGAGAGAGAAGAAAGGAAAGTAAATCATAGGCCCATTTCCTCACACCCCTGTGTCTGGTTCAGAGGAAATGGGAGGGGAGTCGGGGGCGGAGTGAGAGTCCGGTTCTTAACTCTTTCTGTGTCACACCAATCTGATGAAGCCCAGAGACCCTTTCTCAGAAGTATGTAAATGCGTAAATTTTTTTTTTAAATAAATGAAAGCAATTAGATTCCCAAAGAGCTACCAAAAGAGCTTTAAACACTGTGATGGAGTCATCTCCGTGCTTCTTTGTGCATTAAATAACACAAGCCGATAGTCGGTCTCAGATCCAGCATAAATTGAAAATAGTGAGGAGTGTGTAGATATCTGCAAAATGTTAACAGATATAAAAATATCTGTGGTGTCTGTTGTTGACACAGTCAGAGGAACTGCTAATGCTAGCGAGCTTCCTTGCTGTTATGGACTGAACGTTTGTCTGAAGGAAGGCAGCTGTCCATAAGTCAAGCAAGAAACAGGTTCTCATCAGGAACCAAATGCGCCTGTGCCTTGATCTTGGACTTCCCAGCCTCCGGAATGGTGAGAAATTCATATGTGTTGTTTAAGCTGCTGTTTCCCTGGAGTTTTGTTAGGGCAGCCCACGCTCGGAGAGTCGCCTGGCGTCCTTGAAGGAACGGCTAATGCTATTTGAGGGGAATGAAAAGATATAATCTTTTTCCTTTCTAAATTTATGGACCCCCCGGATTGTCTGCAAAGCTCTCCTGGATGTCTGTGGGCCCTAGTCTGTCGAAGGGGGGGGTGTCTCTCAAATGAGAAAAAGTCACCAATAGAATTTCTGGGAGGGAACGGGAAGAGATGGTGGGGTGGCCTTCTATGGACCAGATAAACCACCGAATATTTGCTTTGGAAATGTAATTCCCCATACTAGTGGTTTACTCCAAAGGGCTTAGGCACCAGCTCAGAGCAACCAGTCAGTGGGACAAGTTGGGAAAAAAAAAAAAGACCAGCTTATAGGTGTCACCTTACATCTTGGGCTCCAATAATGCCTTACGTAATACAAGTCACATTTATCTGGTGTCTGTGAACTTTGTCAATGCACTTTTTCATCGTTTGTGTCATTTTATCCTTAAAGCAGCCTTATGCAGATAAAAGGCCTGGTATTGGTATGAATTTTTTTTTTGCAGAGGAAGAAACCCAGCCCACAGAGGGTAAGTGACCCGCCCAAGGATGATTCTTGGTACTGGAGGTGTTCCCGAGGCTAAGTAAACAGCAGCATGCCTGGGTTTTGTTGTGGATGGTTTTTTGTTAGTTAGTTTTGTCATCCTAGAATCCATTGCTCATATTTGAACCTGCATGCTTGGCTTCCAAAGATCTAAATTTACTCATTCATGAAAATGGCTTCCCCGACATACTACCCCCCCGCCCCATTTTAAACTACCCATAGTCCTTGGGTCAAAGAAAAAGCACACATTTGGGCATAAATCTTCCTATTTTTCTGTCTACTTACAGACTGGGGCACAATTTTAGTTTGGGCCAGAAGGAGGTATTTTAATGTTTGAATATCATATTTTGCACTCTACAGCGATGTTTGCACAAATGCCTTTTATTTTTTTAAAAAAGATTTTATTTATTTATTTGACAGACAGAGATCACAAGTAGGCAGAGAGGCAGGCAGAGAGAGAGGGGGAAGCAGGCTCCCCGCTGTGCAGGCACAAATGCCTTTTAGAGCTAGAAGGCTGGATCTGGTTTTGCGTTGTCTCCGAAGGAATGCGACTGCCCTTGGTCTAAACCCTTCCCATTTCCCTGGTGGTAGGAGTGTCTTTGTTATTCCTGGTGAGCCCCGTGGACGGTGCCTGCTTGTTTATGATAATGAGGTGGCTTACAGAAAAGTTGCCAAAACTGCAATGAAAAATTCCTATACATCCTGCCGCCAGATTCATCAGTTGTTAATATTTTGCCCCATTTGCTGTATCATTCTCTCTATGTATCTTCTAAACCCCAAGAGCAAGTTACAATCTCCCAGAAAACAAGACCCTCTCCGACACAGCCACAGTCCAATGATCAGGAGGAGGAAACCTCCCATTGCTACGCTCCTGCCATCTCATCTACAAATCTTATTCAATTTTTGCCTGTTAGCCCAATAACGTCCTTATAACAACTTTTCCTTCTGGTCCAGATCCCAGCCCAGGAGTCTGCCTGGCATTCAGTCCTCGTGTCCTTTTAGTGTCTTAATTTAGAGCTTCCCCAGCCTCTCCAGCTCTTCCACGGCACGAAGATTTTTGAAGACGACAGGCCACTTGTTCTGTGGAATTCCCCTTGATTTAGGACTGTCCGACGTCTCCTGATGATTAATGTGGGCTTGGCCATGTTGGCAGGAATCCCACGCGAGGGAGGCTGTGACCTTCTCGGCCTCTTGAATCCGGACGCGCATGGTGTCGGCCTGACCCGTTACTGGGGTGGGGTGTTCGCTTCGATCACTGGGTGGTGTTACCTGCCCATTTCTCCACTGTGAAGCTCTTTGTTTTTGAGACACGCTCTTTCCCGCATCTCTGCCCCCTCGGTGGTGTGGCCGTGTCCTCGTTCATTCAGGCTGCCCCGAGGAAATCGCACATGCGGGTGGGCTTACAAACAACAGATGTTTATTTCTCTCGTAGGAGCGCAAGCGCAGGTCCCATTCAGGAAGGCTCTACCCTCCTGACCTAGTCACCTCTCCACGGCCTGCCTCCTGCTATCCCCGCCGTGGGGGATACGCTGGCAACAGGTGAATTTGGGGGAGATCCGAATATTGAGACCAGAGCCCCCAGTACTGGTGGGATTACACGTAGCCTCAGGGGAGGTGAATTCCATGCACAAACCCACATGAGAGTCTGTGGCACCGAAGGACCCCGTGTCAGCACCGACCCCACTTATAAGGCACTTGGATTGGAGGTTGCCCTTCCAACCAGTGCCCCTACTGCAGTGTTTATAGCCCCCAAGGGCCTTCAACTAGGCCAGCATTTAGTAGGTGCTGTGAATCATCCAGAATCGAGGGGACTTCACTGGTCTTGCTGGGGAGCGTGGGCTGAGCACTTCGGGGGTGGGGGGGTCCATGGCTAGGAATAACCACACAGGTCATCTGGAGTGCTTGCCGGAGCTGGGCACTGTCCCATGGGCTTTTTAATTCCCTGAGTGACGGGGGTGGGTGCAGTGGACACCCCATCTTACAAAAGAGAAACTGGGGCTCCGAGATGTACCACGCCCCTGGTCACTCGCTAGTCCCGTCAACTGTTTGATGCAATTATTTCAGTTTTCTCTTTCAGCATTTTATTTGCATTTTCCTCCCTCAAGCAGGGGCAGCAAGGACGAAGGGGAAATCTCCCACGTCGCGGAAACCGTTCCCTGGCCTTGGGCTGGGCCAGTCGGAATCCGGTTTTCTGGTTTTTGTTTTGCTTTGATGGGAAACACGCTGACGTTTGTCGTGCTGTCTACTTCTGTTGCTTTGTTGGAGCCTTTCTATCACCCCACGTCTTGGTCTTAGGATGCTATTTTATTTTATTTTTTTATTTAATAATTATTATTTGTTTTGGATTTTATTTACTTGTCAGAGAGAGAGTGCTCAGACAAGCCCGGGGAGCAGCCCAATGGGATACCTATGGGGCTCAATCCCAGGACCCTGAGATCACGGCCAGAGCCAAGGCAGACGCTTCACCGACTGGGCCATCCAGGCGTCCCAGGATGCTTGTTTTACAGATGGAAAGACTGAGGCCGTGGCCATCACTATGGGCAAGTGCCTGAACCGGGATGGCATCCAGCTCCCCCTGGTCAGGCCCCGAAGCCTCTCCTCTCTGATGCGGGAAAGGCCCTTGGTTAGCAGGCTTTCAGATGCAAATCAAACAATCAGGCCCTCTCTGCCCCCTTCCGACAGACAAAAACCAAAATGTTGAGTGCTGAGGTTGGGCAGAAGGCTGGGCAAGGAGAGTGAGAGTAGCACTCGCCTGCCCTTGCTGGAAGTGTAAACCGGTAAGGATTTTGCAGGGGTACCAGCCGCTCTCACAATGAAAACAGCATTTCCAGTTTGATCCAGTGGTTCCACTGTAGGAAATGTTTTCTAGGGCCGTATTCAGACAGATACACCAAGATTTGTCTCTCTATATTCGTACATGTGCACACACCCAGATATCTTTTCCCCATGATTTCCCGGTAGCTTTTCCCTATAGCTTTCCCCATAGCTTCCCCATAGTTAGCTCCATTGTAGGTAAGAGGAAACGTTAGAATTAACCTAAGTGTATGTTAATTAGATTTGTTAAATACACGACAGAGGGGCGCCTGGGTGGCTCAGTGGGTTAAGCCTCTGCCTTCGGCTTGGGTCATGGTCTCAGGGTCCTGGGATCGAGCCCCACATCGGGCTCTCTGCTCAGCAGGGTGCCTGCTTCCCTTCCTCTCTCTCTCTGCCTGCCTCTCTGCCTACTTGTGATCTCTGTCTGTCAAATAATTAAATAAAATCTTTAAAAAAAAAAATACACGACAGAAATTTACGCAGCCCTTACAAAATGACTGAGGGGCGCCTGGGTGGCTCAGTTGGTTCAGCATCTGACTCTTGGTCTTGGCTGAGGTCGTGATCTTGGGGTTTTGGGTTGGGTCATGATCTTGGGTCATGGGATAGAGCCCCGCTACCCCTGCCCCTGCTCGGTCTCTCTCTCTCTCTCTCTCTCTCTAAATAAAATCTTAAAAAAAAAAAAACAAAAAAAACAAGAAAAAGATTGAGGCAGCTTTATTCATGATGTCCTGGAAGGATAGCTAAAGTAAACTTTTTTCTTAAAAATTTTTTTTTTGTCTTTTTTATGAAATCTCTGTACCCAACATGGGGTTCAAACCTACGACCCTGAGATCAAGAGTCGTGTGCTCCACCAACAGAGCCAGCCAGGCGCTCCTCAAGTATACTCCTAAGTAGAAAAAAAGGAACCCTCTAAATATTGTAGGATCTACCTCCATGTAATATGAAAGTGAGGTTATAGAGACAATTTCCAGAACAGAATTTTAAGAACTATTAACAGAAGTTACCTCTGGGGAAGGGGAATGGAGAATCTTCTACCACTTGCATTTTTACTGGAAGCATGTATTACTTCTATATTTTAAAATATTTCAAATACCATTTATGTTTTACCTTCATCTTTTCTATAATTTTAAAAATAATGGGGCGCCTGGGTGGCTCAGTGGGTTAAGCCTCTGCTTTCGGCTCAGGTCATGATCCCAGGGTCCTGGGATAGGGTCCTGGGATCCAGCCCGGCATTGGGCTCTCTGCTCAGCGGGGAGCCTGCTTCCCCCCCCCCCCCTCTGCCTGCCTCTCTTCCTACTTGTGATCTCTGTCTGTCAAATAAATAACTAAAATCTTAAAAAATATATATTGTGGGGGCGCCTGGGTGGCTCAGTGGTTAAAGCCTCTGCCTTCGGCTCAGGTCATGATCCCAGGGTCCTGGGATCGAGCCTCACATCGGGCTCTCTGCTCGGCAGGGAGCCTGCCTCTTCCTCCTCTCTCTCTCTGCCTGCCTCTCTGCTTACTTGTGATCTGTCTGTCAAATAAATAAAAAATCTTTAAAAAAAATTAAAAAAAAAATATATATATATATTGTGTAAATAATGGGGTAGGCTGTGCACATGTGCGGGCAGGGGCATATGGGAAATCTCTGTACTTTCCGCTCAGTTTTACTGTGAACGTAAAACTGCTCTAAAAGATAAAGGCTATTTAAAAATAAAAAGTAAAAGAAAAAAAATGTATATTTTCCTGCCCCAGAAATTTCATGAAACTAACACAAAGGCAGTTGAATCTGCCTTTGAAAGAAATAGACGTGACCTTGAACTTGGGGTTTCTTTAGTAAAAACACCTCTGAAAGGAAGTGAAACACACAGCCCAGATAGAGTAGGGGCACTTCCTGCTTATCTGCAATTAAAGGAACTTCTGTTCTTAAAGGGGCAGGAGCACAGTTACTAAGACAATCTCCCTTACAATCCTAAACCAAAGGGACTGTAGACCTGTCCCCCACAGGCCTCCTTTCTGGAATGAAACTGAGGCACACACACAGTTCAATTACAGAAGCTGTGTCTTCCGTGTTTCCCTTTAAAATGTGAGCACAGTGTTGTATTTTGGTGAACTGAATCATATTTTCAGCAAGATACAGAAGCTGCTCTTCGAATCATGCAACAATGTATGTGTCTGAATATTCATGTGTTGGATTCCTCTAAGCAGAAGCACCTCTAGCTGGGCTGAACCACCATCAACATGTACATTTGTACAGATGATTCATTTTTAAACCTTACCAGTGTTTTGCACCTGTCAGCTCATTCTTGCCTCCTGGAGGCCCGGGAGGGGTGTTGCTGTGCAGCTGGCGTCCCATCTACAACTGAACAAATGGGACCATGGTCAGTGACTCGTCCAAGGTCTCTGGGCATGTAGCAAGGCCAGAAGTAGGTCCCAAGCCTAGCAGGTTGGCCCTTGGCTGGGTGCCTGGGCAGGGGACGAGCTGTGGTTTCCTGGAGTTTCATCATCCGTCCCTCCATTTCTGGGCAAGGAACTTTCCACTGACTTCTATGCCGACCTAGAGAGTTCGGTGCTAATGCAGCGATGAAGGGAAGGTTCTGAGGAGGGAGGGTGCCATGCGGGTAGCGGTTGGGGTGAGCCTGGGAAAGCAGGTGAGGCCGGTGGTGCAGGAGGGGTGTCTGCTGACCTCTCAACCTCTCAGCCAGCCCCCGCCCCCACCCAGCTGGCTTCGAGAAGGGAGGGAGGAGCCACACAGCGGAGGTGGCTGTGGGGAGGAAATGGAGCACATTCACAGCGTTCTGCCAACTGCTGCTCGCCCTTATGAATTATGGGACAATCGCATAATTGCTTTTGTGGAAGTTGAGCAGCGCAGCCTCACGCCCACCCTGTGCTCCCCATTATCCCTGCCATTATGGACACTGATTCCGAAGCCCTGGGGAAGAACCATGAGGGCCCGGCCCCCCCTCTGCTCCCCGAGAGTGCTGGGGAGCTCTTCTCCCCTTTCCCACTGCTGCCCACCGTGCCCCAGGAGGATTGTTAGATGTAGCAGGATCAAAACACAAAACAGCCGCTTAAATGGGAATTTCAGATGAATAACAAAGACTTTGGAGTTAAGTTATGCCATGCAATATCTGAGACATAGTTAAAAACTATTATTTCTCTGAAATTCCCATTTAACCGGGAGTCCTGTATGTTATCCGGCAACCCTACCTTGAGGGGGAAACTGAGGCCCTTTCATTGATAGTCCAGATCTCCCAAACACACACACACACACACACAGGCCTTAGTAAGTCTCAGGCCTCACAGTTCTGGCTTAGGGGGCTCCTGCCAGCCCTGCCCCAGCCGGGTCTGCCACCAGGGGGAGGGAGAAAGGGAGAGGGGGAAAGAGAAAGAGAGAGAAGCTCAGAAGACAAGGGTGTTGGGGGAGGGGACTGGGAGCTTGGCCCAGCAGAGTCTGTAGGCAACTGAGCTCTGGGGGCAGATGGGAGCCCTGGACATGACAAATGTGCCTTCAGGGCTGGGAGGGCCCGCCAATAGGGCCCTGCATTCAGACCGGAAGAAGAGTAAGCAGAAAGACTTCCCTGAGCTGCCCCCGGGCCTGGCGAGGCCTGTAGCGG